AAATTAAAAAAAAAAGAAAAAAATTTTTTTTTTTTTTTTCAACTCACCCCCCCCCCCCCCCCCCCCAAAAAAAAAACATTTTAGCAGCTTCATAAATACAATCTCAGTTTTCCTGCACAAGTAAACAAAGTCATTGATGAGAGCAGTGTAAGTTATTATAGACTTCATTTCAGCACCAGGGACTCTCAGCACCGTGACCTATTAAACAGCCTGCTGCACAATGAGACCCAGTATTGGTTGGCGTGCCTCTCTCAAAATGGAAGGTATTGATTTTTAGATGGCACATTAAGGTCATCTTAATTGGGATTTATATTAACTACATTTTGTTGCATGTACACTGGGTTTCTTTCAAATGCTTGAACGTTTGGATGTAAACCCCATGAGGGAAAAAGAAGAAAAAATCTGTTTAGTGGAGGGCCGCTGGCCATTTATGATCCCTAGTTTAGGGATTCACAAATAATGCTGAGTATGTGCATGCATGGGTAGTGAATAGATACATAATTAACCACTAACATCTAATTAAGTAATTTGTTTCATGCTATTTTATTAAATTCAATAAGCTTTCCTTTTTTCGAAATCTATTTGCAATAGGGGTCACCTCTAGGAGAGGGTGAGACTCCTTCAATAGCAATAAATCTAAAGGTTACCATTAACCGTGACCTCTGTCTTCATAATGTCCCACTATGGAGTCATTAGTTCCGCCATAATGGATAGCCATCAGGATTAAGATTTCTCTGTACATCATTCCACTAGGTCACTTTAGAAGATCCTGGACAACATGTTTTTAAATATATAGTCACATGCTAACATAACAGTATGTGTGGCCCTGCAAGTCAGTAAGCTACACACACTTAGCATTTAGTCTCAGGCCATTTTTGGAATTTTGATGTTGGAAAATTATATGTATTATATCCAAGCATTGCGATGGTAAGTCCATCACATTTTACAACTTCATACTACACAACTTTATCTCTCGTAATCGGGAGTCTTGAAGTCGTGTTGTGTTTTTTGCACTACATGACGGACTGGCGATAGATCGTTCACCAAGAGGAATCCCAGATGAGTATGTCTGCTCTCCAAAAGCCCATTTGTCACGAAAACACACGGAAAAAGGGACAAGAAAAAGATGTAATACCATGCGCGAGACGGAATTTTTTGTCGTCATTCTTGTTGATGTTGTCTTTGGCACAAACTAGCTTGTTTCTGTACATCTTTTCTATCCCCCTTTCCTCTAGGTGCAACAACAACTTTGGTCCATGCAAACGCAACACATACAGTATAGTTGCTATTGTTACCCGTGTCTTGCGCTCTCATTGGCTGTAATGCCCCACAGGTCCAGATATTTATCCCGCTAGATATCCGGAATCTGTCTGCGATGCATCAACGGGCCTCTTGGCTCTCATAGCGCTCGAGCGGCGATTTGCGAGTGCCGAGGCCAACGCCGATTTGGCTTGGATCTGGGGCTTTTGTCGGGGAGCTCTAAAAACTCTCGATGAGTGGAAAATGAGGTTGTATAGTGTGAACTAGACATTACTGGACACACATGTTAGAAGTCATCGGTCTCTTGTGATAGTCACTGTGTCAATCTTTTTAAAGTGTTAATCTTTTTGTTTAAAAAAGGAATAAGAATGAGAGCATAAGATTATGCAGATAAACCATTTAACCTGTCTGTTGAGGGACATAGGACATTTTTTGTCTTCCTTGTGTCTTTGCTACTTGTTGGGTTTGATACAATAATCATTAGCCGCGGGTAAACTGTGCCATCATCTGGCACCATGCTATTACCTCTGTTTATAACCAAAGCAGAATACATTACAAAAGATCAAAAGTCAAGACAGTACAGTAGTGGTTGTGATTTTATGTAATTAACTAAAATACACACATACATGATGTGTAGTAACAGGTAGATTTGCTTAGCATTTTCTGAAAGCATGACTTATCCTACACAGACCCCACCAGTGTAGGTGACAATGTGGAAGTATATCCCACAGCCGTCTCATTTTCATGGCAACAAGCACAGAGTGATGATTGACAGATTTCCCAAACTAATCATTTTCTGGTGCCTGTTTGTCAATGGTTTGTTTCATGTATAGGCGGGGCTGCGTGGGAAAAATGACATGGAGCCTGCTATCACGCAACAGAGCGGTTTGCTTATGTGTTTGCATCCGCATGGAGCCTACTGGCATGAAGCACTGGAGCCAAGGATCTGCCCCGAAGACATGAATGATTTTGATGTCCATGTTCTCATCACACCAGCAGGATAATCTACAGAAGACATGGTGTGTTCCTTTGAGTTTTGTATTATTCAGGTGCTTAAGATACTTGTTCTGTTCCAGTGGAATGTGTATTCTGTGTGGGAAGACGTAGAGGATAGCTGGCAGCATACTCCAAATAAATCAAATTTGGTTTGTTAAAAAAGACAAAATGGGATTTTCATGAGGAAGGGTTGATCACCAGTGCGTACTAGCTTAGCATGCTCATAACGGTAAACCATCAGATGAGTAATCTCTTTTGAGTTACATCATATAATTCTTATAATGGTATAATGGTGGCTCTTGGGATTGGAGTTTTTCAGCCATTGCTGAAACTCAATCATCAATCGTAGATTGAAGATAACAATTGGTAGATCCTGAGATGCTGATATCACTGTGTGCCAAGTATTCAGGCATGTTGGTCGATTCACCAACAAAGTCACCAGAAAGAATTTGCTTATTTGTGTGCATCCTTTGGATAGCAGATCTCTCCAACTCATTGTGTCTTTTCACACCAAAATTCCAAAGCTCCTCTATCTGGCACGGGCATCACCAAATGACCGGAGCCCAATCTGCGGCGAGCATACTGGCGATTGCCCGCAGTGGCGTATTTGTGGCAGTTCAACAGTCTTTTTTGCAAATGTGTCAAATTCCATTTTGTTTGGAGTACACTGCCAGCCGAAGAGGGGGAGGAAGCAAGAGCATGAGAGAGTGAATACGAGAAGAATGAATCAATGAGTGTGTGAGGGAGAGCGGGAGAGGGAAACACAAAAAGAAAATAGCATTGCTCTCATTGGCAGGACCAGACTATCCAGCCAGGCCTGACACCTCATCTCAAAGCATCAAAGCATGATGGAAAAATACCAGTGTTCACAGAGTGTACGTGTGTCTGCTGTGACCAGACAGTGTTTTCACTACAGATGCCCTTACAGCTCACATGGCCCATTGATAGATTATTGGAACATGTCTAGCATTTCTGTTTTAGCCTCTACAAACCAACAACTCCCCTAAGGGACCGACTCCGATCCCCTCTCTTAATGGAATTAAATACCCACAATACAAGCTAACAAGTTATGAAAAAGGGCCTATAATAACAAGTACTGTACAGTCACGATAACAAAGTAAGAATACAGAATGATGTCTTATAGGTTGTTTTATACAACTGTGTCCACATTCTTTACAAAGTTAAACCATTTGTTATACAGCGATTAATCTCTATGTTAGGTAGGGTTCTGGACATCAATACAACAACTTCTATAGTGTCCTTGTGGAGCCTTTTTCCCATAGACACCATGTTTATCCAGAAATACAAAGTACAGATAAATCACTCAGCATCACTCAGCATTTTGGACTAAACAGGGATGCTGAGTATCCCTGTTTAGTCAGACAGTTACACCCTGTCTACACCAGCAACACATTCTCACTCTATCAAATACCAATGTTTAGTCAGTGGTCCTACGATTCAAACTGTGACGCCCTTGGTACCGCTTTACGTCTTTTCAAAATTAACTTCAGTTTTCACAGGAAACAACTTGGTTGAGTTTAAGAAAAGATTGTGGTTTGGATTAAAATAAGCATTTATGTTACGTAGTATAGAAGTCTATGTTATCTTCGCGCTAAGTAGTAATGTTACGTAACGTAGTTAAGGGGGCAACATTACAGAAGTGGTAAGTTTAAGTAATGTAATGTCAAAATAAGACTTGGTTTCACACTGGACACGTCCTAACCCAGAATAGATCATGGTTAGGGTTAAAATAAGTTTGTTTTGTAGTTAAGTAGGCTATGTTACTTTCACATAATGTGGTAAAGTTACGTAACATGGTTAACCCAAACATATGTCTCCTGGGTGAAAGTCCTGTGTAACAAAATGGCTTGGTTATGTTTAGGAAAAGATCGTGGTTTTGGTTAGGTTGTTACATAGGCTACGTTACCTGCACGAGATGTAGTAAAGTTACATAACCTATGATACCTAATGAAGTAGGCTACGTTATGCAAGTGATGTGGTAATACTACTTAACATTGCGTAACTTAAATTAAGTCAATGTTGACTTTTGGTTTCACAAGGGACCTGAACACCTGTTTCCTTGGTGAAAGTCCTATTTCATTTGGACCCAACCCCCTCCCTATGCAGACTTTACCACTTCCTCCTTTACTCCTGCCATAGCTATGGCCCCGTAGAGCATCATAGTTTGATGCGTGGGGTCACAGACCAGGCTGCCGTATTTGACGAGTTGGGAGTGACAACGGGCTGACACCAGACATGTTAGAGTAGAATTATTAAGTTGTTCTTCTCAGAAAAGTCTTCCATTTATTTTATCATGTTGCTATCTACGCTTGCTAAATACTGGCATGCACTTCTGTGGCAGGTGTAGACTGCCATATTGAATAAATGTTTAAGCATTGCATTAGATGTGTGTGAGATAGATGGCGGAAAAATGTAACTGAAACCTGTCCGGTGTGATGTCGTAGAACTGCCCGTTCTGGTTCGGAGTGTTATCAGCATTGCAGCAGCACTCAAATGATGCTGTTGAAGCATTTAGCAGCCAGGGTAGTATGTTATTGTTATTTATCTTACCGGCATGACTTGTAGAATTGTCCCATGTATTCACAAATATGAGGTAAAACCTGTGTTCTAAAATGTTAAAGATGCTAGATTTGCAAATAAATTTTTATTTTCAAAACCTTTCATCATTTTGTCACTTTTTTGGACAAATTGGTAGGATTTTACTAACGATCCTTCTCCAAGTTCACCTCTTGGCATTTCAGTGCTACATTGCTGTTAGCATTTTCAACATGATTATTTTTCTCCATGATGATTTCTTTAACTTAGTCATGCCACTGTTTGCCAAGTAAAGTACGCTGTGTGCACCTTGGGTCCTGCCAGGCTGCTGGACACTGTTTCTTGTTGTCTGGTGTTAAGGGCCTGCTCTTGTGCTTCATTTTTAGTGACTTGGTACAATCCTGGTCCAGCCTTCTCCTCTATCGTCAACTATCTGCCAATGGAACACTCTAGACCCGTCTTTAACTTGCTCTTCCATAGCCCCTACTTGCTGTACTCAGGTTTCATCCTTCGAAGGCACCATTTAGATGTACTCATAGGTGGTTCTCAGGACACTCGTCTTGATAGTGGTCTTGCCCTACCGTTCTCCTTCCTGGGGTTGCGCAATCTCCCTCGGAGTCCATCCTTCTTGCCTTGTTTTCCATGACTTGATGTTTGGAGTTGTCCCACCTTACTAGACAATGGATATACAATTTCTGGTATGTCTGGCTTGGATCTACATATTTCTGTTGATGTGGCATTTCACTACAGTCTTACACTTTCTCTATGACATCCTTGATTCAGGGCCCCATTTTGATAGTGAAATGCTTAAGGATAAAGCTGCCCTGCGTGTATGTGTGGCCATCTGTTAGTTCAAGCCATTCAGTCCCAGTAATCTTCTCTCTTTTTTTCAACCACAATTGGCACATGTGGTCCATGGAGGCTAATAGTAGTCCTATTCTTGAACTATATTCATAATCACAAAACAACTGGGAAGGTTGAAGCTAATGCAGAAAAGCAGAAAAGGATAGGGCACTGCCTCTGTATATGGCACGATGGATGCTACCTTTGGAAAATAAGTGTTCTTTACTTTTCTTGATGCTTCAGATAGAGAGAGACTTTAATGTCTCCAAGGATGGAATTTGTTTCCACAGTATGTGGACGGTATTCTGTATCTGTGTCTGATTGGGAGTAGCATAAACTATTGGATGAGGCGGTGACCAAGTTTATGTTTTATGGTAACAGCTATAAGTGTGATAGCTCTGGTATTGAGATTCACAGAAGATCACGTCTTAAGCCATTTTCTCATATCAACTCCGGACAAACACTGATTTGGACTTTTCCATTCTCACATACAGCTCCTCTAGTATATTCAGTGTTGCAGTGTTCTATTGACCGCCAGATATTGAAGATGTGTGTTGCATCGAATTAAAAGCTAGCTTGTTGCCAATTAAGGCACTACTCGAGACTGGTGTGGTTGGTCCTATAGTTGTTAGTTTCAGTTTTCCTTCACGTATTGACACTTGCTGTATATCTATTCAGTAATTGGATAGCTGGATGGTGGTCTTTCTTTGCCATCGTCTTTTGTGACATTGGTCACTGCTTTTATGGTGTGTTATTTTAGTCTGGCTACCAGTTAGAAACCCCTGTTTAGCAGTCTCAAAAGCCTCCATTATGGACCATCAACTGTGCGACTGTCTTTGAGCTAGCTTACTGAACTCTGTGTTGGACTTCAAGTACAATTTGCAGTCTCCTGCTCATTATACTTGTATTGATATCTCTCATAGCTAGGGCTGGGTACCATTGGAAAATGTTCATCATCATCAGTGCCAATGCAAAACCTCAGTGTTGCAGACAATATCAAAACATTACTGTGTCTGTTTATGTGCAGTTGTGGCACAGGGGTGAAGTTCCTGTCCAAAGACCTGTGGTTCCATTTAGAGTACCAGTAACTCCAGCTTGGTCTTGTGTTTCAATGAACACATTTTGATATGTTCATGGATGTCCATGCCAGTGCACTCCTTCTGTCCGGTTGGGGCACCTGCACACTGATGTCAGAACCGGAGGGGGATAACGTGAATCATCCATGCTTTACTCCCTCCCAATACAATGCATAATTGGCAGGTGAAAAGAAGCAAAGAAGAAACGGAATCACGTTAACCTATTTTTTTTTATTCAAAACATTCAATCAATGGGGGCAATTTTCAGCACTTCACATCTTTTGAAATTCATGTCAACAAAATGTTCCCAAAATTCAAAAACTATTGAGACTCTATACCCAGCCCTACCTATATGTTATTGTATGTTTTCATATTTTGTTGTATATTATCATATTGTATCACTTTTTTTGAATGGCTTCTTATGTTATGTTGCATGTTTCCTTTTAGCACAAGCTTGGTTTATTTAATTTGATCACACTGTACTGCATCATGTATTAATGCATTGTATCTAAACTTAATTAAATGCAAAGATCTTCATAAGAGCAAGCATCTTGTTTTTGTTTTCCTCGGTGCAGATCCCTAACACCTGGCACCTTTAGACTCTTGCTCAATATTATTAAATATTAGTTTGATTTGGTTAGAGGTCACTTTTCTGCCAGAACACTTGCGGAAGTTTGTGCACTCACTCCAGTGATCTTCACCCTATCTGATTACCCAACACATGTAGCATTTTATGTACCTTGATGTATCTTATTTGGATGTAGTTACTGTATTCGGCTTTCAGGGCATATGAAACAAATGTGTTCAAGGCGTTCTCCATTTGATCTTGTCTATTTAACTCTGTGAATTCTTTAGCCAAGCTCAGGACAAATGCCAATGTTTGTAATGTGGAGTGGGTATCAGAGGGTATTAGTGTATGGATTAGGGGGCTGAGGGTATGGATTTACAGGATTTATGGGAAAAGACTTAGGGATCAAGATAGGTGCCAGTCTTCCACTTCCTGTGTCTGTTGTCATTAATCTGTTTTTGGCCCAACTTTCTGTCTGTTTCTGCCTCTTCAGCCTGTCTCATCTAGTTTGTTTCCCTCTGTCTTGCATTTCTTTAGCTCTTCTGATTCATTCATCCAGCTTCCTTTGCATATACAGTATCTCTATGCTTTCTTCCTTAGGGCGCTCTCACAAGCCAAAGTCTGTTTGGCTAGTCCGAATCAGAGTGAAATCAATACTATTGGTTTGTTTTCTATTTAGCCTGATTCAGTCTCACACTGCACAAATTAAAGCGGACCAAATCTCAAGAACTGCCACTTCAATGTATGGAGTTGCGGACTTTGACATGTTTTTGTAGACTTCATCTGGCATATTCTGTATGTTCGGTTGAGAAGTCAAGCAAACATTCTGCAGAAGTCCTAGTCAGTCCTATCACACTCATGTTGTTTATCTGTACCCATCTTAGTAAATGCCGGCAGCCTGCGTTTTGGTTCACTTCCTTTTAATGGGTCTAATCTAATCTCACTGCAATCGAACCACACAAGGGTTTGCTTGGAAACTGTCCAAGACCACCTCTCGCAATAGGTTTTGGACCGGTTATTTTGGTCTGCCCCAGAGTGCGATTACTTACTCTCACTCACAACTGCCCAAACAAACCGCACCAGAGTTACATTAAAATGGACTTAAGGTTGACTTGAGAAAGCGCCCTTAATCTAATTCAGCTACATGGCACGTCTCTCTCCTGGCAATCATCTGTGGTCAGTTCTTTCAGATTGATTCAAAATGTAGTAGTCTGTCTTTGTGTTCATGGTTTTGTCACCTGCAGTTTTTTTCTTCTCCTGTCCTGCTAGCTATAAACAAAAACAACTGTTATCCAGGCGGCTATATATCTGAAGAAGCTTGTTTGTTGCTTTGAATCAAAAGATGTGCACTCTGTGTTTCTGCACCAACCAGAATTTGCCTCCTGTAAGGAATTCCTTGGTTAGAACAGTTCTTGAGCTCAATCCTGGTTTAAGAAAAATAAATACAATCTACAATAACCTCTCCCCCACTTTGTATCTCATCAGTTATTTCAAGATGAAGATCGATACCAGCCTGACTATGCTCCAGCTCCCAGAGGCCCTGTCCCAGGCAGGCCTTCAGTTCTCTGTGGCCACTGAGGAGGATTTTGATGAGATCATGGCCATGAGCCAGAACATCTATGGTGGCCTTGATTACCTGCCCACTCGATACACTGACTGGCTACAGGAGACCAACCGCACAGTCATACTGGCTCGCAAACAGGGAAAAGTGGTAAGTTCAATGAATAGCATGAACATATTTTAAAGTTATGTGTTTCAGAAAAGGCAGAATTGTTATATTACAGAAGTCAGAGCAAGTATGAAATTATTGAGACTAGATTTGTCTCAATGTGATGGTAAGGAATTTCATGACTTCCGGTTTGAAGGAATTAAGAAAACTTTGCAGATGCATGAACTGGGCAGATAAAGCTGAAACTATGTTTTCTGTGTCCATTTGGCCAAGATAGTCGACGTGATGTCCAGTAAGGTAGCCCAAGTGTCCTTCTCTCCAGCTTGTCTTGGGGTATCCCAAAGTATTCCAAGGGCAGATGGGATATGCAATCTCCCCAGCTTGTTCTGAGTTTCACTGGGTTCCCCTCGCAGTTGAAAATGGCCAGACTACAGCCAAAGGAAGGTGTGGAGGAAGCATCCCAATCAGATGCCTGAAGCGTATCTGAATCCTTTTGACAGCTTTTGTGGTTCTTCTCTGAGCTCCTTACTCAAGGGTGAGCCCAGCCGCCCTGTGAAGAAGAATCATTTTGGCCGTTTGAATCCGAGGCCCCATTCTTTCGGTCATCATCCAAAGGTCATGACCAAAGGTGAATTTTGGATTGTCCCAGTGTGCACTGGGGGTCTTGACCTGATGGCAACAGCAAAACCACATCATCTACTTTTTGCAGATGATGTGTTTCTTAAGTTATGTTGCTTAGTCTGCTGCCACCGCAACACAGATAGACACAGGAAATGGGATCGTGCTCTGTGCTGAAATAAATATGTTTTTGTCTCCTAAATCTCGTAAACAGGTCATGCAGCTCTGCCCCAGCTACAGGAATGATATAAAGTTCTAAAAAGGACATGTCAATGTGATTGTTTCTTTAGTCCGCCTTCTTCTGTGATACTCAACAGATTGCTCTGGAGTCTGTGTGTGTGATTGACGATGGGGAGACTATGCTGGTGGAAGGTCTACGTGTCGCCCCTCAGGAAAGGGGAAAGGGTGTGGCAGGAGTTCTGCTTCGCTTTTGCTGCGAGCTGGTCAAATCCAAGTACCCTGATGTTAAAGTAAGCCGCTTGACCCGTGATGATCAGCTTGGACCCAAGGACTTCCAGAAGTATCGTCTCATAACCAAGCAGGTACCAACAACAAAAGAAGACATTCTGTGTTTTGGTCTGTGCCTATGGTTTATGAATGTTGTTAATGATCAACATGCAAAATGCTATAAGCTTGCTTTCAGTCAGTGTGTTTACTTTTATGGTACTTTGTGAGCTCATACATTGGCTTTCTTCTCACAGGGTATTCTGTTGCTACGCTTCAGAGCTGAAGACCTCAAGCTCCGTCTGTCTGAGCTTGGTCAGGGTGGAGACATCCAATCCTCTCTGTCCACCTCCTCCAACCTTCCTCCATTGCGTCTTGACCATACAGCTGTCCACCGGCTGTATCTGACCACTGACCTGATGCATGGGGTTCTTCCTAATGCCACCATCATTCAAGACTGGCAGCCTTTCAAGCTTCTGCCCAGTAACATGGCTATCCTACTGAAGAAGGACATTGACTGGATGGTAGATGATGTGTCCAACCCTACTGTGGCCAGCCTCTGTACCTTCCCTTTCAGGGTGCCCATTGGAGATGACTGGTAATTGTTTTTTTTTTTATTCATAACTGTCCATAAGAAAGTATACAATAATGTAGTGGGGTGCACTGCTTTCTGCCATAGCATCTTTTGATAGTACCATGTGGGTGCCAGAGTTGTCCATTTATTAGGTACTACACATAGTGACTTTAAGATACTTGTAACTTTAAAAAATTAATAGTTATTCAAAATAATACATTATTTTCACTGTAACATTTTTGTTGAACCAGGTATTACCTGAACATTGACATGTTCGGTAAAGACCTGGACCTGGTTCGGCAGCAGTTCTTGTGCCACCTGCAGCGCCACACTGCCACCCTGAAGGGTCACGTGATGTGCCAGATGTTCCTGGACCCACCACTCTGGAAGTCCATGGCCGAATTCTGCCACAACACTTTGAGCGTGGAGCTGGTGAAGGAGTACACCGTGCAATGCGTGGTGGAGTCAGACGTCGTCTAGTTACAGAGGGTGGATGGAAATGAGTAGAAGATGAAGGAGCCAGAAAGGAATGAAGACAAGGGTCTAGACAACAAGGAATGGACACAACTCAATTACACTTAACATAAAAACACAACCCTCTGTACAGAGGAAATAGAAACCAAGCAAACTAAATGTAGTTTCTACAAAACAAAACAACTTCCAAGAGTGCAGTAAGATTTAACAATACACAAATAAATACAGGGTGTGGACATAAAACCATGAAAAAAACATGAAATCAATAGGTCTGTTACAAATACATTTGTAAAAATGATAATATTCAATTGGTGTTAGAGGTGTTGATACAACTTTATAGTCATTTTGAAGTACCATTTTAATGATGTAATTTTAAGGTGTACATAATATTTTGTACCCCTAATGTATTTAAAGAAGGGGAACTAAATAACACAAACCTCCGTTAGGAGAGGTCTTCACAGGTCAGCACTTTTGTACTGGATCAAAAACAGACCCATGGAAACTATGACCAAACCCAAAGTTCCTCTTTTTTTTTGACTGATCCAAGAGCAGTCAGACACAAAGTCAGTCAGTGTAAATTTTTTTTTGTACCAAAACATCACTTTTATGAATGCTGATATGACTGGACCCTAAAGCAGTCCAATGCAACAACACTACAAACTATGGCCTGAAAAGTGACTATAGAGTTGAATCATCACCATATTAGCTTATCTTATGATTTATTACAATGATTACAGGTTTCTTCTTTATTATGTCCACCCTCTGTATGTTTCATGACAAGGGAAGATGTAAAAAGAGTGATGAGCTTGGGGAGGCTTTCTCACAACGGTAGCAGTGATGTAACCTAAAACCTAAAAACAGTCAACATGCAAATGATATTCTTTAAAGACAAAAATGTAAGTACCCTGAGGGCATCTCAAACCTTTCACCTTTGTTCTTTCTGTAAATACGAACCTTCTAAATATGTACACAAGCTGAGTTGGGTTACTAAATCTGCACAACTCTGAAGGCACTTTATTAAGATTATACAGACAGGTTTTGTCAACGTTAGAATGAAAAGGAATAGTTCAGGATCAAATAAGGGTAATTTACAGATCCCATCCCTCTTATGTTGAGGGTTGCATCTATTAACTAGCATTTCCTTCGGAAAATCAACAAAAAATCTCTGCAGCAACAACAACGTTATTGAAATGAACATGCTCAGTCACAAAATGGCTGACAATTTATCCTTTGTTATGGTCAAGCTTTTGTCTTAGCTTTTGTCTTTTTATTATTTCAAATATTTTATTGTATATATATATGTTACTAATTTAATATGTTCACTTAAATGCTGCAAAAAGATTTTAACAGAAATGATTAACTTCTGAAGCTGTAAGTGAAATCTAGGCTTACTTTTGTAGATTGCTAGCATAATGCCAAACAAAATGCAACAAAATAGTGTTCTCTATGACTATACAAGAGCAGTGTTAAGAGAAGCTTTGGCCTTGTTAGAGCAAACTAATCTCTAGTTTATTGTCCAGACATGAACAGAATATTGTGGATTATACCATGGCCAACTGGCTAGTGTCCATTCAAATGATAACTGCATAGCTGTAGGGATGGCGGTTGGTGTAATGGTCCACCACTTTTTTCTAGAACAAAATATCTTGACAACTACTGGATGGACAATATGAAAGGCCCCCGGAAGATCAATCCTAATGACTTTGTTAGTCCCCTGACTTTTTACAACGCCACTAGTAGGTTCAAGTTTTTATTTATCCAGTCAAATGTCGCAACATACATGAATCGGAATAGCCCACAATTTAGTCCAAAATTAGTACACACATTCATGTTCCCCTCAGGATAAATTGTAATGACTTTGGTGATCTTCTGACTTTTCATCTAGTGCCACCATCAGGTCAACATTTCCATTTGTCAAATTTTTTGAGTTTATGACCAAATACCTGCAAAACTAATGACATTCCCATCTGCCTTAGCTCTAATTTTATTTAGTAAATGCTAATTCAGCATGCTAATATGCCAAAGTAAGATGGAAAACACGGTAAACATTAGACTTTCTTGTCATTGTTAGCATGCTCACAACGACAATGATACATTAGTATTTAGCTCAAAGCATCGCTGTTGCTACTACAGTCTCACAAAGCTGCTAGCATGACTGCAGACTTGTTTTTTTTGCTAAGTGGCCATGGTATAAGCACAATACCAAACACTGTTGTGTCTCCATTTACAAAATAAGGAACTTGGTGGAGGAAACGATGCTCTACTCCACACTCTGTCCTCCACCTTCATGTAGTCCATTATCACCTACATATTAACCTCTACTAGTGGCATCATAGCTACGTCTGTGTACTGGTATTTGATACCTTTTAAGTATCTACCAAAATAACCCAGTACCAAGTAGTATCAACAATGAGTCAGACCTGCAATTGATACTTATTGTATCGTTTTGCTCGCAGCCAATCATCAGGTGTTATTAGCCCACTACTGCAGCAGCTACAACCCATACAGACAGGATTTCATGCCTGCACACAACTATGAACACAGAGATATCTGAGCTGGCAGCAAGTAGCTCACGGTGCTAACAGTGCTAACAACGGCAACAGGCTGACAGAGCTAACAGTTACATTAGAGCTAACAATAACCTGGGGAGGTGGGCATTACACTTTCACAGCAACATGGTCCTGCCACCGTGGGTCGGGGGATGGCATTATCAGCGGTAACCGCTGAGCAGGCCTAAAACTGTCTTTAACATTTTTTGAGTTTTCTCTACTAATTAATTGCTCATTTGGCATTAAACTGACACCATATTGAGCAAACTTAGCACCGCACACACACCCGTTACACTCTAAATCTCTCTTTAAATGCCCATGTAGAGGGTGGGACACCATTAGTCTGATTAGTCTAGTACAGAAATATCTTGTATGAAAAACATCTCAGTTTGTACAAAACTATTTAACCTCCCCATTGCCTGGACCAGTTTGTATCTTGACTTTAACCCCCTTCTTCTTCGGGTATGCAATTTTCTAGGTGTGAGGATGACTGGGCCTATTTTCTGAAGAAAGCTAAATGATGAGTCAAATCCTTTCAAAGTTTAACAAAAAGGAACTAAATGATTAAATAGATTCAACTTTTTTAAATTATTAATATTCAAGGAAGGACCTATTAGAGTGGTCATCATCCTCAACATATACCACGGAGCATAACAAAATAGGATGACAACTATCTTTTCACCCTATTGTTTGTAACCAAAGAAAGTCACCACTCATCTAAACTGATGCCCTTTCATTTGCTGCCAGGAGTAAAGTGAAGATAAGATAGATTAGAGGGCAATGGGTGTAATTATTTTTACAGCTAGTTTTTTCATGATCGCAGTATATTTTTCGTAATCTATTTATAAAAATCTCTTGTTTTATTGTGAGCAAAGAATCATTATTTTGTGATCTTGACATAACATAACCCAAACTGTGTTCTCATGATTCTGATTCTGATATAACTTGTGTAATCAAGGACTGCCACAAACATTGGGCATTAGCAGATAACACTATTAGTTATTAGTGCACTAATTGCAGGGTTTACCTACTAGGGGACCCTGGTTCTAAAATATGCAGCTGAGCCCCTACTAGCCTGAAAGTACGAGGGTCTATAGCTGGATTTTAGGGGTCCAAGGCAGAACCTCAAGATTAAATAATATGCTGTCTGATCATGTCAGCTGATATTCTGCTTTGGTAGCTCATATTCTGGAGTACCCCAAAACAATTTAAATTACCCTAATTACCCCTACAATATCTTCCCTATAATATATCTACGTATATTTGCTTGATAGTGTGCCCATGGTAGTAGATAAGTAGAGTAGTTTCATTAAACATTCTATCCTATAATATCCCTAATAGTATCACTAGTTGCAAAGATAGTTTTCCAGTGGTAGGAAATGGTTTACAGTATAGTGACTTTGTGTCAGCTGACAAATAATTCCTATCTATCCATCCATCCTGGTCGCAGTGACAGCTGGCTAAGCAAGGTAGCCCAAACATACCTCCATTAGTAACATCTCCCAGCTAGTCCTGGGGGTTCCCAAGGCATTCCCCAGTCTGATGGGATATATATTCCCATCAGTATGTTCTTTGTCTGTACTGGAGTCTCCTCCTAGTTGGACATGCCTGGATACCCAGTAAAAAAAAAGGTGTCCAAGAGGCGTTCAGATCAGATGCCTGAACCATGTCAACTGGCTCCTTTTGATGTGAACGAGCAGTGACTCTGCTCCAAGTTCCTTCCAGATGTCTGAGTTCCTCACCCTTTCTTTACAGTTGAGGACAGACACCCTGTGAAGAAAACTTGTGTATGGCCGATCACATTCTTTGGGTCATTGCCGATCATTGAGGGTTGGGAAGTAGAGCAACTCGTAGATGAAAAGTTTTGCCTGAACCATGACAGTCCGGTACAGTGCCGACATCACAGTTGATGCAGTACTGATTTGCCTGTGGATCTTGTGTTCCATCTTGTCCTCACTTATCCACAGATAAGCCAGTCAAGAGAATTCCTTGATTTTCGGCGGTAACACTCTCTCAAGCTAAAGTAACCAATGACCATCATGACAGTTGAGGTGAAGGCTGGAATGTAGATGAACCGTTAAAACCAGTTCTTGGCTTTCAGGCTCATGTCCCTCTTCACCAAGATAGTTTAGTAAATCCATCTTTCACTCACTTTGAAACAAGACCCCAAGCTACCTGATACTCTATTTTTATGCTGGCAGCTCATCACTCCCATCCCAGAGTGAGCAATCCGACATTTTCCAGTAGAATACCATGACTTCATTGGACTTGGAGGTGCTAATCATAGTTGAATTGCCACACATGAATTTCCCCCATTTTTCTTCTAAATGATCATCAGAAGTCAGTTTGGTAGGTTTTGTTAATTTTGTTGTCAGGAAAAAACAAAGCTTGTTCATTTTGATCTGTTTCTTGTAATTTCAAGAGACAGAACAACAATCATCTTAAATGTGCGTTACTGCCTTCTGTATGAAGATGGAGAAATGTACATATGCAGCCCTTCTCCAAACACACACACAGTCGTGTTTTCATGACTTTTGAGGACATTGCATTGACTTTTATTAATTTCCTGGAGACTTACCCTAACCCTAACCACAATCGCTACCACCTTAATCCTAACCTTTATCCGAACTGTAACCTTAACCTTACTTTAGCCTAACCTTAAACCAAGTCTTCACCCTAACATGTAATGATTTACGTTACAGGGACATGCATTTTGTCCCCATAAGGACACACTACCAGTTAGTAGAGTTAAATCTAACCAGCTGAGTAATCTTTGAAACATACTCTATACAATTAGCTAGATACTTTCCTCACAATCAAATACACCCTCTGTTAAGTTTCACATAACCCTAACATAGCAAGTAGGAGTATCCTTCAACACATTATGATAAATATACTCATTCAATTATTTTTTTTGTCTTGTCATAATATGTAATACATGTAAATACTGTAACTTTTGCTGGAAAGTCACTGGAGCTTGTGAGAGGCCAGAATGAAGACTTAATGTTAACACTCAAATGGCCAAAAAGCGTAGGATGGCCTCATTCAGAGGAAACAAACAGTGGCCAGTCGTGAATTTATCTCTGAGAACATGTCAGCCCATCAATGATCACCTTACTTTTTATATGAATAAAACTTTCTATTTTCAATGTTCACTCAGTGCGCCCTGCTGCCACTTCACTTTGAGCACCATTTCAGCATGCGCTCTCTTGAGTCCTGCTATTATCAGCCTCACAGCAGGCAAAAGACATTAGAGATCTGCCATTTGTCCACTAATCTGGTAGATGGTTCAGGTTTTAAGATTTCTGGCCTTTTTCTTTGTAATTTATTCAGTCGGGGGAGGGGGGGTCATTGTTTCTAGACTTTCTTCCCCATCTACAAATCAACAATGCCTTGTGAAACTTTCATCCATCTAAAGGCCTCAGTATGCTTCAAAGAAAGTAGGTTGTACTAGAAAAGTGTTTATAGCTGTAACCAATTGCCACACCTGAAGGCGGGGCCAAAAAGCCTGCCATCATAGCATCTCTTTTTAATAACTCTGTCTTTTGCGTGTCTTTGTAGTCTGGATGTAATGACTCATATAAAAAGCTATACGCTTAACATCCCCCCCGGTCCCACCATCAGAAAAGGGCTTCCAGACACTTAAAAAAGTAATTTCTTTACAGCATACTGAGGCCTTTAAGTTCAGTTGACTTGTAAATCCATGAAGTTTTTTGTGTACCAACACACTTCTTTTTACCCCTCAAGTTGCTAGGGTCATGGCAATCCTAATAAATTGGCCTGGTCAGTTTCAATCAATTTGTGCTGCCATTTTGAGTTTTGTCATTTTTGAATTTTAGTACTTAATATAGATCCATTGTTGTTCTCCTTTTCCAGCAGTTGACTTCATCACATGTGAAAGAAAGCATCTTTTGGATGCTTTTATTATCAGCATTTTGACATTCCAAACCATTTGAAATGAATCTGGCAGAAGCTGTACCTTTTGTTTCTGTGTTTCTTTGCCTTGTTGATATTCCAAATTGTTCATTATCACCTACAAGTCCTCAATGCACATGCTTACATAATTCCCTCTAACACCAGAGCCAAAGGTGATGAGACTCCTTCAAATGTCTGAGGTCTTTAACTGGAAGTGCTTCACATATTAGAACAAGTTTTTGCCACTGAGTTCTGCAGATTGAGATCAATCCAACAGATGTGGTTTGATGAATTTCAGTGATCAGCATTTTAAACTTGAAACAGTTAAACACACAAAAATGAGCTCATTCAACCCAAGGCTTAGGAGTTTATGGCAGAATTGTGCTGAATGATTTGTACTCAGCCTTATGCATGTCTGCTTAGCCCCCAGATTTTGACATAAAGTTTGAAATTGGACTTGGCATAACTGCAGTGTGGTTTTGTATGAACGAACAACACATAGGCCAACAGAGGTCTTGAATTAACCCTTTTTAATAAGATTTATTTTTTAAAGTCATACTTTGCAAAGCATTTACAACATTTAAACTAATAGTTTTATTAATGTTAATACTAATTAAGTATTCTATTCATGCCTTAAAGGTCATTTCTAAAGACAGTATTTGAGGGTTGGGAAGTACTGTCTACAAGGCTACAAGATTGTGAAAAAACAATATGGTGTTCATCCTTCAGCATAATATATTCTTGATTTTGAAATAGCTCTTCAGGACTCAACGTATATTTTGGTGTGGCATAGTATTAAATCTCAATTTATTAGCAACTTGATTAGACTTGATGGTTTTATTAGAAGGTGAGGGCTGAAACACACTTCTCTGGGCTTTGGTTGTTGTGTCTTTTAGACTGATTTTGGGTATGTTAACATGTTTTACCTTTCCATTTCAGAGGCAGTGGCGCTCTTCTCTGCTTAGATCTGCAGAAATCAATGGTGTTTGGTTAAATGTAGGCACAGAGACTACTTGGTTAGGGTGAAAATATTGCGGTTGGGTTAAAAACAACTACTTCGTCAAAGTGTGGGAACTTTTTCAAACAAAGAGAAATTTGGTTTAAAGAAACAAGCGTTAAGTTTTGGTAGGGAATGGAAATGAACAGCGGTCACTTGTGTCGAAGCCAGACACTTTGTTGCCCCGCCCTCTACCCTAACCTCCATACCTCCAGGTATTGAAAATGTACAATAACAATAATTAAATGTACCGCTGCCATTGCTCCCGTACAGTCATAATTCACATGTTCAATAGATGTCCTCAAACGGTAAATATTGTATTAAGCATTTGAACAATTTATGCGGACGTTTTTACTGGGAGGACAGTCTTAAGGGATTTTTCACAACCTGATAATCCAAAAGTCCTGTGTAGAAATGTTTTATTACTGCTTTATAAAGCATGTATAAGTGATTTATTAACCATTAACAAAGCCATTAGTGACAACTTATAAAACTGCACCATTGTCTAATAGAGTACCATTCATAAGGGGTTTATGCTACCATACATCTAGAGGGGGCACGCATCACCAGCATGTACAAGTGAGGGATTCTAACACAGTGGATGTATTTGATGCTGAGGAAAAAAAGGTTAGATTAAAAGGGTTCGAAAACTCAGTTACAGACCCCAGTAGCGCCACCCAATCCCATTAATCAGGGAAAGTATCTTCAGCCATGAAGTCTCAGACGTGTTTCCACATTTCGTGTGTGCTGGATGCTTACTTCTATATATTGACAATACAGCACACAAATATACAATATGTTCAGTAGATACACTGGATTTATGCATAATATTTCTTCACTGGATGTTGATGCATTGTGTGCTTGAGGGAAGCTCTAAGAAGTGCCAAATTTCATGACTGCTAAACTTCCATGTTTGTCAATTAGCTCACGAATATTTATGAAAATGCAGCAAATTTCTAGAGTTTTTATTTGCAACATTAGCTTTAGTTGGAAAGTTGGGTTAAATGTTTGTCTTTTTTTCCGTAGCCCCACAGTACACAAAAATCAAAGGTGATATAACCAGTGGTTGAATGTGAAGCTGAATTGAATTATTGAGTTTTTGGGGTTACTTATAGCACTTTGTTTGAAAAATGTTATCATTGTATACGTTGTATACAAGTGAATAAAATGCTAACACATTGTGCTGCAGACCCTATACGCATTATAGGGTCAAGTGTTATATTAATATATGTTTTATGACTCACTGTACAAGCCATTGAGTTAGTGGGTAAAGCAGCATGCACTTTAGTTGTCTTTGGCAATAATAGATATAGCTCCCATCTCCTGTAAAGTAGCATTGACTTCAGTGAAAAACCCATGTTCTTGTCGCACATCTTGATGTCCAGAAACAATCATCCAGTGCCATGTGAGATAAGCCTTTCGGTTTGACAATGTTTCTCCAAAGCTGAACCATTTGACAAATGACATGTAGAGCAGTTTGTACATCAGTATACCGTGGCATTGAAAATAAGACTATATTTTAACAACTATAAGAAGTTGAAATGGCTGTGTTCTGAGGGAGTAATGCGGCTTTGGGTTAGTTAAGCCAAGAGATGATTAGTAATTTAGTATACTGGTTTTTAAGTACTTTACTTTATGTGAGTAATTCCATTTTGTGAGACCTTATACTTTTACATTTTAAATGGAAATATTGTCCTTTTTACTCCACTACATTAACCTGACAGCTGTAGTAACTAGTTACTTTAAAGACTAACGTTGTTACATGCAAAATATAAATAATATACACTGCTAGAGATTAAACTAGCCAGTGTGATGATAGTAATGTGTAGGCTTCAAAGATTTTATTTTAATATGCACTCGGTGATGCAAATCTTTATCTCTGTACATTTAATCTTTCTCTGTGCTTGATTTGTAGTGATTGCTTTATCATGGCTTGAATGGTAATGCCTTGGACCTCCAGAAGGGGGAACATGAACAAACCTTCCTCATTTGTTGTATTTTAAGTAAAGACAAGTGACGAGTCTGTGTTTTCTTTCACGTTATTTTCCTCCTTTTATAGGAATTGTTCAACATTTTTTGGAAATACTCTTAATTGCTTTCTATCCGAGAGTTAGCTGAGAATGTATAGGCCTATCAATATTACGTCTGTGCCTTAAAGAAATGGTTCAACTCTTATTTGCTTTCTTTCAGGGAGTTACATGAGAAGAACGGTATCAGTCATCTTTGTCATCTAACATCTTTGTGTTAAGATGGAGCTGGGTTCAGGGAGTGGTTAGCGTAGCTTAGCATAAAGACTGGAGGCAGGAGGAAACTGCTAGCCTGTTTCTGTCCAAAGCGTAAAAATAAACATTTCTGTGCAGTGCCGGTTAGCTCTGTACAGCCACAATTAGTGGTGTAATGGATCATAAAACAGTTTGGATCGGATCAGCACAAAAGAAAAAAGGGAGCATATATAACTTTTAGAGATCCCTGATCACGTTTTTTTGCCGCTGATACTAATCGTTGATCATTGATGACCCATATTGGATATACCCATATACAGATCCCTTTGTTGTTTGATTATAGGAGCTGGTCTACACGGTTCCATCCGTCATAAAAATCATTTGAACTGCTCTCTCTCTCTCTCTCTGAATTCTAAAAAGTTATCCTTTTTTACTTTGTTATCGTCATCTATAGTGTTTTTTTCTTCATAAAAACACAATTTAAATGATTAGAAAACAAAAGATTGTAATTTTATGGATTAAAACAAATCTTGTGATTAGTAGTTTTAGTGATGCTGCTTAGAGCTAGTGTAAATAGCTCATAATTAATCTCTAATATCTATTTATGTTGTTGTGAAAACATCTCTCAAGTTTCTCACAAACATTACATTTGACAAGATCACATGTAAACACATCATGATAACGTTATACTTTACCTCCGCCCAATACTCAATTTCACTGAACAGAGCCTGAACGCATCATGAAGTAACCGAACGGAACCTTCGTTCGTTAGCCGTTAGCAATGCTGACAACCTTACTAGCTCTTCTCCTGTCAATTTAAACATGGATTGGTTGTTTACAGTGTGTGTTCTAAATGCCGATGTCCTGAAAGCATATTTACTGAACGATCATCAGTAAAAACATTATTTCACACTGTGATTGTTAACCTTAAACTGTGTAATTAATCCGCGGTTCACATGAACAGTGAGGGGCAATTCGTACGGCTCACGGATCGACAGTGGTCCGTTACACCAGTAGCCACAATGGTACTAAACCTGGCAACCTCACAGACAAGTAGGAAAGCTGCGAACACTCGCTGCGAACACTCACTGCACCCGGCTGTTTTACAAAAAATATTTGCCTCGAAAAAAACACATTTTCTTTTTAATATGACTGTTTTTGTGCAAATTAAACAATCAAGATACAACATGTTAATGCGTAAACTTTAGCGGTCTTGTTAGGCTGAAGTGTTTTTTTGAATTTTGAACTGAGGCAGGCTCCATTTCCTCCTCCTTCCTTGTGCTAAGCTAAGCTAACAACATCCTGTCTCCAGCTCAGTACTTGACACAGACATGAGATTGATATCAATCTGAACATCCCACTCACTGAGAGAATGTAAATAACTATTTTCCAAAATGTGGAATTATTCTTTTAGGTAGGCCTACAGGGTCGTGAGTCAGGACAGGTTTAGCCTAGCTTAGCATTAAGACTTGGGGCAGGGGGACAGCTTGCCTGGCTCTGACCAAAAGTTAGACATAGATGAGTTCCTTAAAAATGTTGAACTATTCCTTGAAGGGTTTGACACCAACAGTATGTGGAGAAATGAGACATTTACAGAAACAGGTTAGTCCTAATGCAACAGTATTATAAAAATGTGAAAACACTCATGAGGACCCCTGATATTTTACTACATTTGATACTTTTTACTTGCATAAACTTCTGAGTGCAGTATTCCATTGTGGTACTGGTAGATTTACTTAAATAAAGGATTTATGTCCTTTTCCACTACTGTTTATTCATTCTGTGGCTATCGAACATAGTTTTCATGATTATAGTTTGATATGAAAGTATTTTTGTAGCACAACACTTGGATTGTTGTGCAGTGGCATGTGTATTTATAGAAAATATCCTCCCAAGCATATCAATAAATTTGAAGTCACAGAGAAAACTGTTCCTATCCTGTCCTACACAGAACAAATGCAATTCTCACTCTTTTTTTTCTGCAAATACACTTCACCTGAAAGTGGTGAGACCAATAATAGGAGTCTGTATGTAGAGAAATTTCTCACAAAAGTGACGAATGCAATTCATTTTGGTTGGTATTTGTGGATAGGAAGACACATTTGTGAACTCCACAAATTATCATATATATTTGCTAGCCACGCTAGCTTATCACTGAAAGTTAATGTTACTCTGATGGGCCGTGTTTTTTACCCTAACTTTTCAGCTAGTGCCAGCATCAGGTTTACATTTTACCTGCAAAACTAAAGACATTCCAATCAGCCTCAGCTGTACTTTATGTTTATTGCTAATAAGCAAATGTTAGCATGCTAACACACTACACTAAGATGGTAAACATTACACCTGGTTAACATCAGAGTGTTAGCATTTCAATTGTTAGCATGTTGACATTAGCATCGATCTCAAAGCCCTTTTGTGCCATCCTCAAAGGGCTGCCAGCATGGCTGTAGACTGTTCACACTACGAGCGATAGCAAGCTACAAGTCATTTTCAATGGAAGCCGGTGACATGAAGCTACAAACCTGATGCCTAACCTCGAAGTGTGACCATAGCATGAGTCAAGTTTTTTATGGACTCGCATGAGAGACAAAGAGAGAGAAAGAATCCAATGATTGGAACTATTTTAAAGGCTTTGGTAATGTCTCCTTTGGAGAGCTATGCAACGTCTGCAGCTAGTTTTATCAGTTTAATGGCATTTTCAGTTGCATAATGATGATGAATGGATGGACAGATATTTTCTCATAGCTATGCCTATTGGACTTGTACGGAAGACTAGTAATGGAGAGGACTCAAATGGGCCAATATACATACTCTTTATTTATCTCTTTCTCCAACAACTCAGAAACCTTTTAAGGCTTTTTAATGTGGACTGGAGATTGCCACGTAAGTAAAGGTTGGGGAAGTGAGGATCCAAACCCGTAATCCCTAAGAAAGACCCATGAGAAGGTGGTCTACAAACACAGAATAAGGGTGAGAGGACAGTTCGAATGCAAAAGATGCTGAACGACATCGGTTCTCTTGCCGGGATGGGATAATGCACGAGGGGCAGACCACCTTAGGGGTGATTGGCATGATTGTCAGCCTTGCCCATCAGTGGCAGGTGGGAGAGGCTGTGGGTGAGGTAGAGTAAGGCCCCGGTGGTTGGAGGGTGAAACAATAGTTTGTGGCCAGGCGGCAACCTCCGGTTCTGCCGAGTGAAGCCGATGCGGAAGTGTCTTAAAACTTACATTCTCTCTACTGATCAGCAGGTGGCAACTCCTCTGGTTGCAAAATAAGTCTGATTGTATTGAAGTCTATGAGAAAATAACCCTACTTCTCACTTAATTTGGAGACAGCGAAGTCACTGAACTCAAGGCTTCTTAACGGCAGTCTACATAACAATGGGTGACGTCAAGATTACTACGTCCACTTCTTATATACAGACTATATATGGGGCAAATAGGAGCGGTGTGACCTAATATCTCAGAGGTGCTGCTGGAAATGGCTTGAGCATCTCCTGCGATCAGAACTAGTAATTGGGACCAGTTCAGTTGAGTGAGAGAAAGTTATAAAGATTTGTGGTGTGGGCAGAAAATAATCCATCCATATTTCTGACTTAGCTCGACAATCAGTGTCAAATAAGTACCATTTTCGTCTACCCCTGGATAGACGCAGCAGAATATGTCATGGTAGATACTAAAGGCTTCTAGAAACTTACTGATCAATGAATCCCTGCTTAACCGGGGATCTGCAGAATGACCACTGTGATTCCCCATTAGCAATTATTTTTTGCTGGAAGAGACACATTAGTTTCTGTCTTTACTTTGCAGGATTTTTAAACTTAGACGAGCAGATATATTTGCTGCTTGAGGTTATTGGCCTACCTACCGGTGGGACAGGGTTGGCAGAGGCCAGAGAATATCGCTATGATGAGGTGGAAGCTGAAATATTTTCCAGGGGTTTCATGGCATTCATCAATGGTTTGGATGGAGTTAGCCAGAGACGGCATATCTCCTCTTTGGCCAAGGAGCTCGAGAAGGACCTGATCTCTTGGCCCTTTTGCTGCCACTAGCAGGAGTTGGGGGGCAAATTAAGCAGATGTGTCCAGGAAGTAGCGAATATTCAGCAGGATCAGATGGCTGCTTGATCCGCCAGCCAGCTCATGGAGACAGGGAGGCCTGGAGCTGGATAAATGCCGCGATCTTGGTACTGAGACAGAAAACAATCTGTCTCGTCGGTAGGGGAGCCACGACGCAAAGTGCTCCTGCTTCTCCCTTTTCTGTTGTCACAAATAGAATAAAGGTTTCACGAAAATGTTCAAAGTCTGTTTAAAGACTATTAGGTTTTTACTAATTAAATCTTATCACAGCCCATCTTATGGTGCCCAAATGGAGAATTGGTCACCTAACATCTCATATAGTTTTTCTGTCTGTGTTTTCTTTCATATCTCGAGTACGACTCATCCATGAGTATTGCAATTTTTTGCACTTTTAACACGCCACTTCGGGGCTCTACAGTCCAACATGTCATCGGCAGAGGTCGACCCGGGCTCAGTTTACTTAGGCTGCTGGATGTTGGATTTAGCCTGTAGCTAATGCTACACGAATGCCAGATAACTTTACAACCGTACTTTTCTTAATTTCCAAGGAGTCAACGAACACGAACGGATAGCCTCACAGGAATAGGGCCACTCTGACATTGCCATTCAAATAGTGTACGTTTTTGCCAAACAAACAACATTGCTGCCACCTTGGCCGATTTCAAGGCACCCCAACCACGACTGTTACCACGGAAGTATGCAAAGCAATGCCTGGGCGGG